AAAAAGTCTTTCGATGTTGTCATTTGTCCTATTTACTTTTTTTATTATCATTATTTTGTATTTTGTTCATCCTCAAAAATGTCATTGCATGCTTGCTAAAAGGGAAAATCGATGGAAAAAATGTCTGAAAATCAAAAACAAACAGAAAAAAAAGGAAAAAAAAGAAAAAATGTTGAGGGTATCCCAAACATTTGTTTGAGTTGCTTGTTACAGCAATTGCTTGTGTTCAAAGGTACATTTTCTATGAAAAGAAAGCAAAAACTAAAAAGATCATTCTAACACCTTGTGCAATAAAGCTATCTTTCATACGTCACGGCCTCTGTCATTTCCTAAAAGTTCATCCTCGTATCGAAACAGTTTGAACTAATATAGTTTCTAATTCAGAGACAGTGCTTTAACAGTACAAAAACCTGTGAAATCTAACAATAATGGTGGAAAAAGGATAGATCTGATATTACATATCAAAACTGATGTTATCAAATTAGCATTGTCATTTTCTTTGATGGGTTTTCTGAAATTTGGAGCCAATCCTAAACTAAAAACAGTCCTCGAACATGTTTTGTTAAAGTTAATCCTTAGGGAAAAAAATTAAACTGATTTTAAAAGCTATTTACAGTAGATTAATAGTATTTGAAAGTGGTGTAAGTAAGGGGGGCGGGTCAAAAATCGAAATGTGTTGATCTTTGGATGGAGGAATATCAATTTTTAGCAAATCACTACACATTGGTAGTTCTTCTGATTGTGAATTAAGGGATGAAAGGAGAAAAAATAGTTTCCTCGTATGAAGAAAACTCAGAGATGGAAAGAGAGTTCTGAGTTTGCATACTAAAGCTCACAGGAAACACAAGACAAACACATAAGAAAGATAAAAATGAGGCACAAAGACCAAAAATCAAACAGAAGAATAAGTAAACTTAACAAGAAAGTAACTCCTATATGTTCTAAATGCAAATTAAAGAGAGAGAGAAGATTTGTATTAGATATATTCTTGTTCTGCTTGAACTTTATTTGAATGTTTTCTTTGTAAAACATAAAATAAGTCCTTCTTTGAGAATAAACAAATATTTTAGAGGACAGAATGGGGATTGTGAGATTGCACTCACATTCAGTTAATTTATTAAATGATGTCATGTCTGTGGAGAAAATAGAAAATTAGGAAATACATGCAGCTCCGGCCTTTAGCCGCTAGATGGCGCCACAGGCTTTGTGTGTTTTAGATTTTCTCCACAAAAAAAAAACACATAGATTTATTCAAAATTAGTCTCGATGACAAACTAAAGACTTTTGCTCATTTTAGCTTCTCTTCTATGTTATAAATGTTTATATATTTTTTAGCAACAGTGCTATCTGCTGTTTACAGACTCCAAAACAAAATTTGGTTGAACTCTGGACTCTGAATATGTTACTCAAATTTGATATAATCTAATTTGTCTATAGCATAAAAGTGATTTTATTCATATCCTAGCATAGTAGATATAAATAAGAGGTTTGTAGTATTTTTGTGTGTGTGTATGATAAGTTTGAATGGCTTAAGGGACTCTTTCATAGGCCCTCCTCAAAAGTTAATAGATACTGTGACAAAAGTCTTCTCCTAAAAGAGGGCAGTCACTCATGACGGATATGCTGTGAATAATTGATGTTCTGTGCAACAGCGGTGCCTGAATACTGGGGCTCCTTGTTCACAAAGCACAGGTATTTCTGCGTGTAATTGACTTTGTCTTAGAATTAGCTCATTGTTCGGGACGCTTCATGCAAGCTTCAGCCTATATTTGTCGTCCTTTGTTCTTTCTATATTTTTTTTTATCTGTTATCCAAGGCATCATTTTTCTGCTTGGTTGTTAAAATGAAAGTTTGGTCTGTAAAGCAATTACAGATCATGAAAAATTCTCCTGTGAAAAAAGCAAATAATGAATATTATTAGTATCATGTGGCAGCAGGTTGAAGGATAGTTTAGTTTTCTCATTTTTCACACAATATCTTAACAAGATGGGAAAAAATTGGGCATTTTTATGTCTAAGGTCTCTTTTTTGACTGTTTTTGTGATCAATCTGCTGTCAAAAAAGGGACATTTTTAACAAAGATCATATCAATCTTGCATGATAAGAAGCTGGAATAAAATCTGTAAAACACACACATACCACAAGAAAACCAATTTTACAAGACTTAATTTATTAACTATTGTACAGTTCACATAAGGCCTTCATCTTCAAACACTATTCTCAGTCAGACAAATTCCATGGTTTAAATCCTGGTGCACAATACACAAACCTTCACGTTTCACCTATTTTCGCTTTATCATTCGTTTAGTTTTTGTACTAATTTTCATGTTTTAAAACAGGGGGGAGGCTTTTGACCGCTCCCTCAATGTGTCTCTTTTTCTTTTTCTTTTTTTTCTTTTTTAAATCATGCACTAAACTTAAGTGGCCTCGAACCATTCACAAAAATTGTAGAAATGGACTTTCAATCATTGAAATACACACTAGAAATGTTTTTTCTACCATCGACTAAAGGGTGGTGTCCCCCAACATACAAATAAACAACCATTATAGAGTAGTATGCACACACTCGATGCTCATTAAACGGCAGGTTTTGCCCAGGGTTTTCTTGACCGATTTCTGTGCAAATCTTAAAAAGTTGCAAAAAGTACCGGTGACTTATGATCCCAAATTGTGACGCGACCAATTAATTTGACACAGACGGGGGCCTCCGACCTCTCAAAGCTCAGCTCGCAGGCATTGGTTGTCCATTATTCTCATTGGAGAAAAAAAAAAACAGCATTTCCTCACACAAATTCAACGGTTAGTTATTGGACCTTCATTAGTAGGTTGCGAAACAGGGTTGCATGTGGTAATTGAAAAAGGGAAGAACGATATGCCAGCGTAAAACTACTCAACTACAGCAGGTAAACGGCCAGTGGTAATCGTGTCCTTGATTTGGCTCGTATTTGTCGACGTTTTGTATAGCAGGACGAGCAGTAACAGCACATTTAGAGCACTAAACCTTCTGAGTTAAAGGTTCTTTATATTACACGAATACAAAGAGCTCGGTTCGACACACAGCCACGGCAACACGTCCAGCAACCTATCACGTTTCAAGCATTTGGTTTCCGTGGACAGTGGGTGGTAAGGTAAATCTGTTATGGTATGACTAGGTTACACATTCAAAATGGCGAGATTTCTCTTTCCTTCACTGGTGACAGGCGAGTTCTTCTTCCGATAATACGATGGCCCGGTTAAAACAAAGTCCCTAAACGTCCCACTCGGATCAACAGACAGCTAAAAAAAAAAAAAAAGGACGAACAAAACTAGGTTTTTTCACATGGCTGGATGAAAGAGCGACAGAAAGCGGATTCGGATTTCCCATCAACCCAAAAAATGGGACGCCTGGACCCAGTTAAAAGACTAGATTTTTTTTTTTACAAAAAGGATCTTGTTAAACAAGCCTGCATCGATGCCACATTTCGAAGCGCCAAACAAAACAAATATTGACAATTAATCCACGTGGCGTTTCTTCACTTTATTTAACACTACACTATCAAAAAAGTGCTTCAGATAAGTTTGTGGATACAAAAAAACAAGTCGGATGTAAACAAAATTTGATCGGCCCGAGCTTCGTTGAGGCAATGGGTATGGCTGTTTGAGTTGTGAAATAAAAAAAAAACAAAAAAAACAACACACACGAGAAAAACAGTATGTCGAAAAACCCCTTTTGCAAGGGAAAAACAACAGTGATCATTAAAGTGCATCCCTGGATGTGTTTCCCCTCCTGGCCTCGCCTTCTTTTTTTTCCCCCCTTTTTTCCCGACTCATCGAATAGAGCCGGTAGGAGAAAACCCAAAAAAAAAGGCAGACGCGGAGGAAAAAACTCTGCTACTATGGAGCAAGCTGCTGCCAAAAGGACCTACAGAGGACCAGACCATAAATCCAGTGGCAGTACTTTCAACAGAAAGAAAAAAAACAAAAAAACAACAAAAAAAAAGAGTTTTTTTTACACAGATAAAAAACATGGTGGCCACAAATCATCTCTTCCAGCTTGTAGAGGGTTCTAGTTTAGTTTCTTGGTAGTGTAGGGTAAAAGGGGTTGGGGGGGGGGGGGGTTGGACAGATAAAAGGCCGGCTGTGGCAGTGACCACGGTCCTCTTCTTCTGAACAGACGTCCGAAAATCCGAAAATCCGAAAATCCGACAATCCGAGAGGCGGATGATGAAAACAAACAGCAGTTTTCTCAGACACTCGTCCTTAAAATCCTAAGGTTGTCCATGAGAAAACACAAAAGAGTGGGGGGTTTTCTTTCTTTTTTTTCTCCTCGTTCGTGTACGTGTTCATGTACAGTGGGGGAAATAAATATTTGACCCATTTGCTGATTTTTGCAGGCTTGCCCACTTACAAAGAATGCCTATTTTTTTCCTTATCAATTTGTATAAATTCATATGATGTGATTTTCTGGAATTTTCTTTGGGATTCTGTCTTTCACTGTTAGAATGTACATATGATTAAAGTTATAGATCGTTGCATTCTTTGTAAGTGGGCAAACCTGATAAAATCAGCAAGGGGTCAAATACTTATTTCCCCCCACTGTATATGTGTTCATATGTGTGTGTATGTGTGTGTGTGTGTGTGTGTGTGTGTGTGTGTCAGTGTGTGTGTGCGTTGGCGATAAGGTCCAGAACCAGAGTCTCACGGTCTCTCACAGTGTCTCCTGCTCGGCGGGGGGGTGGTGGGGGTGGGGGTGGGGGTGCTGGTGGAGGGGGGGCAGCAGGGACTGCAGGGGGGACTGGGGGGTGGTGGGGGGGGGACTGCTGCTGCAGGGGGCTGAAGTGGGCGGCGCTGTGGGGGGGGGAGGAGCGGTAGCAGGAGTAGGCCGACCCCCCCCCACCCAGGGTGGAGGTGGTGGGCGAGGCCGGGAGCCCCCCCCCCCCCCAGGCCGGTGGGAGAGTCCAGCAGGGGCTGGTTGTAGAAGAAGAAAGCGCACTGGTGGATGAAGCTCTCGATGATTGTCTGGTAGGTGCGCGTGGCGGTCAGCGCGTCCATGGTGGAGAAGTCGGGCCTCATGAGGGTGGGCCAGAAACAGATGGACAGGTTCTCGCTGGTCATCAGGTTCACCCGGTGCAGCTGGCTCACCCTGGGAACACAGGCCGGGCCACGCCCATTTATACCGACTCCCAACGTACAGAAAATAAACAACAAAAAAAAAAGAGCTTCATCTGTGATTTAACCCTGTAATGCCAAATGTATCATATTTGATACAAACGGTTTCTGAAATGTTTTGCGTCTGACACCTTTAGCTTAATTTAATGGTAAAAAGTTTGCTCAAAATCCTATTGTACACAATCAGACACACCTGATAACAGGGGGCAGAAGACTACACAAAAAATCATCTTGACCTATCGCATAGTAATAAATGATTAATATTAAAAATGTATTTCTGTTTTTTCTTTTTACATATTTTGGTAAAAGGCCAAATAAAGACTTAAAAACAAAAAAAGTAAATTTTCTGTTTTGTTTTATTCTTGGACTTGGATCAGGCTTTAAAGGGTTAAATGGAGTTCGGCCATTTCTAGAAAAATAAGAGGGGAGACTTACTTGTGTAAGTGGCTCACAACGTACTTGAAGACATCATAATTCTCCCTGGGGAACCTCCTCAGGACATCCTTCATCGTGTACAGCCTCTGTTCTCTGTCGTTGATTTCTAAACGTACAGCATTTTCTGTTATTACCACTAAGATTCCATAACCAAACATCAACATTTTTAAGCTAAAAAAAAACAAAGGTAAAGCAGATCTCTCAAAACCTTCCCAACCCCCTGAAGAAAACATCTTTTTATGTTTCTGGCAAAGAGCCTCCCAGCCCAGCGGTGTTTGCTTACTGAACGCGTCCAGTAGGTCCACCTGCAGAGCGCAAGGCACCAGGGGCTCAGGCAGCTCAGAGAAGAAGCTTTTGAGGGCTCCAGCCACAGTGTTTATGGAGAAGTCTTTCTCCACCAGGTCTAATCCGTGGTCTATGCAACGGGGGATGACAGGGATCAGGAGAAAAAAAAAAAAAAAAACGTTTGCACCAGGACGGAACAATCAAGTGCTTGTCACTTTTCCTCCGATAACTCCGTGTTTATGTTTTGACAAGGCGCTAACGTAATTACGCGTCAAACAAGTGGTTTAAACTTGTTGCGATTAGCCACTCACCCTGTTCGAATTGCCTCTGCATGCTTTCCATCTCCGACTTGTTGCCACTGACGCGGTACAAACCCTCCGTGTTCAGGCCTGAGGAGAGAGGGGGGAAGATGTGGGTGGGAAACAAAAGAAAGTCTAACGTAGTGGGTGCGTTTCTCAACAGGGATGTTATTAAAAATGCCGACAGTTTTAACAGCAGTGCAGCCTTTTATCATATGTGAGCATATTATCATGTGGGAATTAGCGTGTTTAGATAGCAAAATAAATCAATCAATTAAAGAGGACCTTCTAACTCATTCACTTTTATTCCACTACAGCATCTCTACACTGAAGGATAGACTTATTTCTTATAAACTGATGTTTAAAAACCTTTTTCCTTTGCCTTGACGAAGCCTTTCCTCGCTCTCAAGCTATTTAGCTCCTTCATTTCTCCAGATTAACTTGAAATCACTAATTATCAAATCGCTAGTTTCACTTTGCTGAGCGTTTGTCCGCGTAGCAGATGATCACATAAAGAAATCTGTCACGAGCAGATGTCAGCTCGGCATGAAGGCTGAACGAGGAACTTGGAAAGCAAGTGTTCAGAGCAGCCTGAGGCCTTAGCTTTTGGCAAAAATAAGGAAAACTTCTTTCTACGTCAACCATGTTACTTGAAAACTTGACCACATTTAACCTAAACATCTGCTTTAGCATTAATATAATGTATGACTAACAGATATGTTTTCAACTATGGAAAGAAAAGATAGCAACATTTGCTTTCACAAATAAATTAAACCCACTAATGGGAATATTTTCCACATCACACATTAAAGAGAAAACTGTTCAGTCTTTCGGTCTGATTTGAAATTTCAGGTACCATTGTTATGACTGGATCCCTCTGAACATTGAAGAAGTTTCATGAAAGTGTGAGTACATGTCCACTAAATGATGACAAAATTTTTTTTTGGGCTATAAAAAAAAACTAAAATCAAATTTGACAGTCATCCATTTCGCTGGCACATAAACTAGTACATTTAAATGAAGCCTCCAGCCATGTAAGAAGCATCTGCCACTTACTGATGGCAATAAGAAATCATTAACAATGGAAACCATGAATCGACAACTTTAAAGTCCCTGCTTCTACATTTTTTTATGGCCGTCTACCTTTATAAAAAAAAAAATAGTGGGTAACACGTGTTATATATTACTGACATTTACAGGTAACCTGTGGGTGACACTAAATTATTCATTTTGAAGTGTGAATGCTGTATGTAATATTCATTTTGAAAAAGACATTACTGAGAGAGAAGAGAACCTTGTTCGTATTAAATTTCCTTTTGATTTGTCTGAAATTCAAGCTCTATGAAATGCGATCTTCCAAAACCTTGTACATGATCATTGTCTTGCTCACAATAAAACAAGAGCTTACCTGTTGTCTCAATAAACCGGACGCACTTCTCAATAAAGAGTGGGATAGGTCTGTCTGGAGATACCGAATTTGCGAGAGGGACCCCGAAGTAACTGCTCTCTATGGGCTTGGGAATAGCTGGACGAGGCTTTGGTCTTGTTTTCTGCAAGCAGGAGTAAGACAAATCACACAAATATTAACGGATATTCAGTCAAATTCTGTAATAGGACAGTTTTGGACTATTTCAATTAATGTGTAGATCCTCCAAATGGGATTTTCAGTTCATATACATTCAAAGATGGCGTCTTAATGTCAGTGGCTATCTGGAAGAGTAAGTTCTACATGGGAAAAAGATCAAAGATTTCATGTAATACATACCTTGGCTGTTCGTCTAAGGCTCTTTAAAATGTTCCTCTTCTTTGGGTCTTCAGTCTCCTCGATGACAAGACTGTCCCCTTTCAAGGTACCGAAGTCATCCTCTTTGGACTTTGGGAGCGCCCCCATCTCGTCGTCGCTGCCGATGAAGCTCGTGCGGAAGCTGCTGAACTTTCCGAGCCTCTTCGAGCGGTCGCGGTACAAACGGGGCTTCACCCCGGCCGCTGAGAACTTCCTCCTCCGCTCCAGAGAGCTGCTGTCCGCCTCGCTGTCCGAGCCGTTTCCGTTCGAATGCATCCGGTTGGAGTTGCGTATCGTGATGATCTTGCCTTGCGTGCTGTCGTGCGGAACCGAGTAGATGATCTCCTCGTTGCTGGGGCGGGGCTTTGAGACGGCGTCGATGGGCTCGGCGTAGTCTGAGGGGTCGTAACCAACGTCCCCTCCGGGCACCCAGGTAACAGCAGAGGGCAGGGAGCGACGGTGACCTAGCGTGTCGATGTATGGGCTACGGTTAACCTTCCGGAAGTCGAACGTGACGCCTGGTTTGACTCTCACTTGAGGGGGGATCTTGTTATTGAGCTTGTTCTCAAAGTCTCTAATGTCAGAGATGACGGAGATGTCGGCAGAATCCAAGTCGGGCAGGTTGAAGCCCCCGCTTTGAGAGGAAAGGGTGCCGTCGTAGTATGGAGGAGACGGCTCCACATCGTCCTCCGAATCCAGGAACATGGTGACGGTGCTCGGAGAGCTGCAGCGTGGGGAGTAGACGTTTTCATAGGTGCAGGCCTCAGCGACGTTGTCATACATGTGTGTGGCCTCCACAATGTTGCGTTTCTCCACCACCTCCATCAGAAACGAGTGGAACATTTCGATCCGGTGCAGGCCACCCACCACTCCCCCGGATCCACACACCAGACTATTGAAGCGAGCCTCGATCTCGTGCGCTAGCTCCTCCCCCTGGATCATCTGCTCACAGGCATAGTCGCTGTCAGTGAGCTCGGCCTGGCTATCACCTACTGCCAACAGCTGAATGGGGATGATGTCCTGAACCTCACACAAGAACGCACACAGGGTCTCCAGGGAGGCTTTTCGGGAGACCGAGTACACAGCAATGTAGCCGTGAACTAACCTGCTCTTCCTCAGGGTAAAGGAGGCATGGTACGACAGTAGTGACAGCTCTATGGCCAGCTTGTGTCCACCAACCGTCTGCTCCAGCAACACAGAGGTACCGCTATTAGACATGGGCCTGCAGTGCTGATGCATTAGAAAAGGGGACAGGAGCTGATCTACATCGTAGTGGTCTCCACACATTAAGCACATGACGATACGAAGATCCGCCTCTTGGACCGGTTGCTGAGGGGAATCTCTGAGGCCCGTAGGCTCAGGGAGGAGAGGCGGGGAGCTACTGCTACTGAAAGATGTGCTCCTTCTAATGTCCAGAAGGCCCCTTAGTACCTGGTTGATTTGAGTCTCGTTCACATTATGGCCGTAGCCCACGCCAGGTGAGGCAGGGTCTAAAAAGCTACACTGTAGTCTTCTTGCAACCTGCTGGCCCTGTGTTATTAGGTTTAAGGCAGTGTCACCACCAATATCTACATATGATCCGACACCTCTTTTAGTCACTAAAAGCAGAGATGTTGGCAGCTGTGCCAACTGGCTATCCCTTCGGCCTATAGTCGATTCCCTAAGACGCTCAAGGCTTTCCACCACGTAGGACAGGGACTCTTTTGAATTATAAAGACAAAGACATCCGTGAGGGGTGAAAGTATGGGTGTGGAAGGAGTTTACCGGGAGACGCACGTTTCCCTCGATAGGCCGCAGCGTCAGCTCATACATCTTCCCATCTAACACATACCAGTCATCGTTTGTGCAGAGGGCCCTAATCTCATTGGCGAATTCTCTGGCAAGGCCATCTTTTCCTAGTATGACCAGGTTAATTCTGTCAGCCTTGGTGTCTCCAAAATGAGCTTTTACATCAAAAAAGGGGTAACAGGAAGGGAAACGGGAAACAAGGAGTTGTTCAATCTTTGAGTCTCCACAGTGAGGACTGTTAGGGCAGGTTTCCTTGGTGGGATGATAAACAAAGTGGATATGCTTCAAAACCAGCGCATCTCTTTCAGCAGGAAGTTTCTGTAGTGCCTTGAACCTCTGTTCCTCCCCCAGAAGTTCCTGAATTGCCCCCATCTTCTCTTTACTTGGCTTGGCATCCACCTCAAGTTCATAAAAAAGCTCAGAATACTCGAGCAAAAGCTCCTGGAAATCTTCCTTGGCACGGTCGATGATCTCCTTCTGGTGACGGTTGTAAAGGTCCAGGTATTCCGTCTCCTCGAGCCAGTGGTAGAACTCTTCATTCATGATGAAGCTGCGCGCTTCCTCCCAAGGCTTACCAGGTGTGACGAAGGGGGAGGAGGCCAGTTTCTGCTTGAACTCCTGTCTCATCTCGGCCCGTCTGCACTCGTTTCGCAAATGCTCTAGATGAGCGTTAAATATGTCCTCTGCTTCAGCCGTCTCCAACAGATCGGAGGGGATTCGCTCGTCTTCCATGTTGTCGATGTGAGACGTGTCCTCCCACGGAGAGTCCTCCAGAACAACAAACCAGTGGGCAAAGTGTTGTTTGGACTCTAGCACCTTCTGCACTCCAGACCAGCTCAGTTGATCTATCTCATCCAGATCTGGCACCAAAGAACTAAGTGCTAAAGGGAGAGTGCTTAAGTATATTTTGCGGCGCTTCTCAATGTGTTCCTGCTTCAGTCGATAGACGTGCTGTTGAAAAAGCTTTTTGCATTTCGCCGTTCCCTCCAAGAAGACATACTCTTTGTACTCTGGTGAGGTGTTCATGCGTCTACTAGTGTTTAACCAGGTCTCATTGTGATTCTTTACTATGCGGTTAATGAGCCATTCATAGCGATCCTTAGCAGATGCTATCTGTTGACTCTGGAGCTTCAGAGCCTCAAAATAAGGAATGATCTTGGGCTTGCCTCTGCTTTTATCAATGAGCTGAGCCAGAGTGAGAAACGCAAGGTCCACGTTGATGTTCGAGCGGGCTGACGTCTCGACGACAGGTAAACTCTTCTTGGTGATAGCAAACGTGTGAGCATCCTTGATGTAGCGTTCGACTCCTTCGTCGCATTTGGTGAGCACCAGCACGATGGGCTTCTTCGTCTTGCTGAGCTGACCGTAGAGGTTTGTGATAAATTTCAGCTGGTCGTCAAAGTTACGATTCATGCCCCGGCTCACATCGACGCAAAGCAGGAAGCCGTCGACCTGCAGCTTGCCCTCCGGCATTTGCTTTTGCTCGAAGTCCTGCTCCAGACCCAGCTGATCCGTACAGAAGTACATTAGCTTCTCGGCAGAGGCCAGCTTGGTCCCAGCTGCCCGTTTGATATAAGGCTGCATAGCGGTGCTACGGTGTGGCTGGAAAGTCTGGTCGTCAATGAACTCGGTTTGCTCGACGACGTGCATCCTGCACTCGGGCCCCTCCTCCAGGACCCGGGACACCTCGCCCCAGAACAGAAAGTGATCATTATTAACCACCCGACCCCCAAAGTCACTAGTGCTCAACACTGATGTGTGGTCCAGATAAAAGTCGTCCGCACTGGGCCGAACAAACCGATTACACAGGCAGGACTTGCCAACCCCGCATTGGCCCTTTTCCTTCTCCGTTCCCGACAAACCCACCACGATGAGGTTGTAAATGGGTGATCTCGCATCTTGCTTTTTTGCCATTATAGCCTTCTGACACTCATCCTGCCATAAACAGGCACTGTGTAAAAAAGTTCACTTATGCGTTTGTCCATAAAAATTGCCACCTGGGCTTCAGTTCTAATAAATAACAGTGCAGTGATATGGGCAGTGGGCTCTTTCATTCATTCCCTCCAAGTGTATGGTCCTGTTGAAAAAGACAAAAACAAAATGGGAAAAAAATTAACAAAGTCAATAATGAAAATGTCCAACTACAAGACAAAAAACATAAATGCAAAAATAGTAACGGGACCGATAAAAATTCATAAACATGTCACTGAATTATGTATCATAGTCAAACGAACATCTTAATCCATTCAAGTTTTTTTGCTAGTGACAGTTAAGGAATGGTTGAATGGCTAAAGCTACATAATTAAGTGGTTTCTCCAATGTGAGGTTGTAACCTTGATCGTGCAGCTAGCGAGCTCCCTCGCAAGCTGCAATTAATTGTAATTTGCGTAAATCACAACATTACAACTGCTCAGCAAGTTAATATCAAGTACTGTGTTTGTTTTGGAATCATATTCAGTCAGTTAACAAAAGCATAAGGTGATCAGAAATAAAAGAACAGCAAGGCCAAGCATTTATAATATCGACTGTTTCTGCTGATACGAAAATGAAGAACATAAATGTTTGTAAGTTGATTCAACCGAGACACACATTTACCTGCAATTCTTGGATTGTGAGAGACTTTAACTGCTTTAATAAGGGTAATATTTTGGTTTAGCTCCTTTGTTTGTTTGACTCTTTATCAACCAAAATACTGAGTATACTGAATACTGAGTATCTTACAGATCTGAAAAACATCAATAAAATGCAACCAGGAAAAATATGTTATCCTGTCTCAGGCAAACAGATGTTTATATTATTTGAATTAATCTGGCCAAATAATTTAATCATCGCTAACAATTTCTCATAAATCATGGTTGCAAATGGAGAGAAGCAGGACCGGGTACTGGTATTTTTACTTTAATCCTAATCATACAATCACTATTGCTGAGTGATCTTCCGGAGCTGCTCCACTGACCTCCAAAATCCCTGCATCATCAAACAAGGCCCAAAATATTAATCTCACAATCTCACAAACCATATCAGGAGTGGCCCTCTTTCAGCTGGATGGATGAACCCTGTTTTAACCGGGTTCCATGAAGGCAACCCCGGTCTCCATTTTAAACCAAAGACACCACTTTCCAAGGGTAAATAAAAGAGCATTTCTTATCTCTTATCTCCCCGAACAAAATTAAGCAAATTAAGACAAAGTCAAGCACGAATACGGCCAACGCCAAAAGGACGCCGCATCCATTTTTATGGAGCCGGTAACTGTTTCTTTATTACGCCTCTTGTGAGATGCTGCTGCAATTATCAAGTTGTCAAAACCATCAACCGGAGACACTCCACTCAGTCACTCGCTTAAAGATTACGCATAAACTTAGAATGGATTAATCAGTCTAATACAGGAATGGATTTGGGTTTTTTAGGGTTTTTTTTATTGGAGAATAACAGCTCCAACAGGGTCAACAGCAGCTATGGGCAGTGAACAGTAGCTCAGCTGAGCTATAGGCCCCTGATACCAGCCGGAGCACCAAGTTATGCGCCCGGAAAAAAAAAAATAATAAAAAAAACCCAACTGCGTTTGGCACAGTTGGACCAACCCTGCGCGCACCACCCAAAAAACCTACGGGCCAAACCCCAAAAAACGCCATTTAGCATTAAAAAAAATAAGGTTACGTGTCGTGGACGAGGATTACCGGTTACCACGGGCTCCAGGGCGCACAGACATGGGCGGGTGGGGGTGGTGGAAGAGGGAGGAAGGGGAGGGGGGGGGGCTGACCACGCCGGGCCTGCTGTCTACAGAATGAAATCCGGAATAACCTGCCACCTTATCCACTGGGATCATTCAACGGGGACCTATTTCCACAAAAAAAAACCCATTCTCTCCTAGTTTGGAAGCGTCTTTACGCTCGAAAACGGCCACGGAGGGTAGGCTATACATACCGGCGCACTGCTCCCTTTCTCCCCCTCGCATCTGTCAGGGCCAGCTTGCCGCAGCCTGATGTGCACAAGCAAAAAAAAGCCGCAGAATCCACCGGGGGCTTCCTCTTTATTCCCCGGAAAAGATCCCCCCGAATATCACAACCACCGGTGCGTCCGGGTCATTGTGGATGAATCTCCACCAGCCATGTCTGCGCTCCCCCCTTTTTTTGTTTCCCCCACCCTCCACACACACACACTGCTTTTGTTGCTAAATAAAAACCAAGAGAAAAGGAAGAAATAAACGTCTCCCAGCACGGAGCGATCCAGGGTTGTTGTTGTTTGGTTGTTTAGTTGTTGTGTTGTTGTTTTTTTTAAAATCCTCCGGTTAGATTTGGGGTTGTAAATAAAAAATCTGCTCAGTCGTCTTCCTCTCGGTTCACCACGTTGCTTTTTCCAATAATTATTCTGTCCATTGTTGTGGCCACATAACAACGCCGGGGCCGGTTTTTTCGCTCGCGCGCGCGTCCACGAGACGACAGGGGTATAGTTTTAGAAATAAGACTCCCTCCGTCCACCGGGATCTTTTTTTTTTTTTGCGTCCCGATCGATTCCCCTTGGAGCGGATTGCGTGCGTGAAAGTGAAGGGGGGATTTTTTTTTTTTTTTTTTTTTCCTTTTCTGTCAGCTCTCCCGATAATGGCGGCGGCGGGCGGCCCTCCTCCTCCCCCGGACCTAGATCTCCTCTTCTTTTTCTTTGGGAAAAAGGGAGCTGTGGAGACAGAGGGACTCACCCAGCGGCGCCCGCACACAACTGCAGCAGCAAGATCCGCTTTCTCTGAGAGGCTGCAGACCTACCCAGTCCCTCTGAGGTAAAACCAGGTCCAAAATCACCTGTCAGACCTCAGGCCAAAGTCTGAGATGGTGGACACTGGTGTGGACCCACTCACAGGTAAAGGAGCGTCCTAAAGGGCCAATATGAGGCAGTTTTTACATAAAAACTAACTGAAAAGTGCCTTCTAATTTATTTGTATAATATCCAAGCTTGGAAATTTAAATGTAGGCAACTGGACTTGAGTTTATCTTGAAGGCCATCAGTTCTAACTGATTTTGGGGAGCACCGAGATGAATAAACTGTAAATAAAGATGAATAAAATGAAGATGAATAAAATATAAAGAATTAGATGAAGAAAAACAAACAATAAAAGGTGGTTCTGGTCCCTGCTGCTGGATGGACCAACATCTAAAATGAAGCAGTTTTTACATAAAACTAACTGAAAAGTGCCCTTTAATTTGACTTTTCATAGCATCCAAGCTTGGAAATTTCAATTTAGGCAACTGGAACCAAGTTTTTCTAGAAGACCAAGACTCTTCATCAGTTCTAACTGATTTTGGGGAGCACTGAGATTAATAAACTGTAGGTATATATAAAGAATTAGAGGAAGAAAAACAAACAACAAAAGGTGGTTCTGGTCCCTGGTGCTGGATGGACCAGAACCATCCAGCAGCACAGGTAAAGCACAGGTAAAACGGCATCTAAAATGAAACTGAAAAGTGCCTTCTAATTTTACTTTTCATAACATCCAAGCTTGGAAATTTCAATTTAGGCAACTGGACTTGAGTTTTTCTATAAGACCAACAGCATTTGTCAGTTCTAACTGATGTTGGGGAGCACTGAGATGAATATAATATAAGTATATTTAAATAATTAAGGGAAGAAAAACAAACAATAAAAGGTTGTTCTGGTCCCTGGTAAAGCACAGGTAAAGCAGCATCTAAAATGAAGCAGTTTTCACATAAAACTAACTGAAAAGTGCCTTCTAATTTTACTTTTCATAGCATCCAAGCTTGGAAATTTCAGTTTAGGCAACTGGACTTGAGTTTTTCTAGAAGGCCAAGACTCTTAATCAGTTCTAACTGATGTTAGGGAGCACTGAGATGAATATAATATAGGTATATTTAAAGAATTAGGCGGAAAAACACACAATAAAAGGTGGTTCTGGTCTCTCCTGCTGGATGGCCCGTGGTGGAGCTCACCTGGGGGAGCTTTAATGGTAAAGACCATTAGCTTGACCATGACCTGGATGACTGGGAATCTTCCCAGATATGATATTAAGCAAATTTATAAAGCAATCCTGGCAGAAAGGGAAGCTGCGTGCATAGATAATTGGGATTTCTAGCTTTCCAGACATTACAAGATGTCATCGTCTACATCAGAGTGAGGAAGAAGCTCTCAAATATAAAAAAAGAACCCTAGGAAATACTCCGTATACCCCTTATATATCTATATACTGCACCGCTCCCGTGTTGACATACAGGCCCTAAAGTGTCAATTTAAAATGTCTGACATCTGTTAAACTAAAACACTTTAACCATAACCGTTGAATAAGATAAGTCTGTTAAGCCATCAGAGGCTGTTCAATCATTCATTTATACGAACACATTATCCATCATTTACGTTAAATAAAATATACAGAGTTGAACTCTGAGTTAAAAGGATGGCAATAGAGTGAAATTGAGGGGTTAGATTGTGCACTGTAATGGACACGGGGCCATCTTTGGCGTTTTTCTTGGAGACTTTCATTCCTTATGGCCGCTGCTTTCAGGGGGTGAGTTAAGTCGAAGCATGCCAAAAATGGGATTTACTGTATGTCAACACTGACCAGTTCCTGTATGTTTGCCAGCATACCATGCTGTTAGCAAGGACCCAGGAAAAAAAATGGCTAAAGATAATAGCATTTACTGCTCTGGCTATCAACACAGGCCTGGTAAAAAAAGCCCGGTGTGGTCAGGATAGTCTGAGTAGACTTCAGTATCCTGTAATGGACACAAAACAATCCAAACCAATTATCAATTAACCTTTTTTTATTTATTAAAACAACTAAATAAATATAGATTAATCAGAAAATGTGATTTTATTCATTCATGTTGGATGGTTTACTCATGATTTTGTGTTCCAACTTGCTCTGATAGCATCTTTTGTATACTCAAACTCAGAATAATGTACAAAATATAAGATTAATGACAAACCAAATGCCAAACAGGCCCAAAACAAAAACACATTTGGATGTGTAACAATGAGATTGAGGTTCAAATCCATCTTTGTTTC